AGAAGGAGGAGGAGGAGGAGGAGGAGGAGGAGGAGGAAGGGGAGGAAGAAGAGGAGGAGGAAGAAAAAACACTGCCACTTGTATGAGTATAACATTATATAACTCACCTGATATCTATCCACCACCAGACAAGCCATGTACAGGGGTATTGCAGTTCCCGCCATAGCATGAGTCGAGGGCATGGAATATTCTTGAAGGTAATGCGTCTCTATGCGGATGCACGGGGGACAGGGCGGCCGCGGCCAGCGGAGGAAATCTTTGGCTGCTTGACCCAGGTACATGACCATGCACCAGAGGTAGGACACCTGCAGTGACAGAACAGAGGAAACATGATAAGAGCATGGCAAACATAATATATATCTATCTATACACATGAATTATAGATGTACGGAATCCCTTACAATACTGGGGATTTATAAAGCAACTGCTCAGTGTAAGTTATTTCAGACTCAGTCACACATCACTTTTCAAAATGGCGTGTAGTGGAGTCTTACATAAAACAGCTGAAATAAAGGTGTAAAAAACAAAACAACATTCATAAAAGCCCATAGCTTACTCATACATTCCTTCAAACCATACAGTACTTTCTTTCACAGGAAGCAAGCCAATTTACCTGCATCTGATTATACTTTACAAAGATTAAACTCAAAAAAACAAATTTGTGTTAAAAATGCTTATTAAATTGTAACATACACATTTTTGCCAGTTCATGCTTTGCAAATTAAAACTGTGCAGGAAACTAAACTTTAAAAATGTAATGATTATGAGAGCTACCTTCATCTTGCATCTGGGAAAAATCATAGAAGAGTCACAAAAATTAATTCCGACATTTTCCTTCATCACTAAACTAACTTTTAAAATGGAACAGAAAGTTTTTAAAATAACATGTGTGTATGTCTTTTTAAATTTTACACAGTTAACTTTATTTAGTTTAGAAAGACAGCACTTGCAAAGCAAATAGGTCATACTAGTGCCAAAGCTTTGAGGCACCCCTGTAAAGTAATGAAAAACGAGAATAGAAGGAGAAGAGGGAGGGACAATAGATGTTTGACAGAGAAAGACGGGGCAAACGAGAGCAGAGCAACTGATATGATATGAACCACCAACATTTTATTAAGTCACAAGAATGGAACCACAACCAACACACACACACATAATCCTAAATTATGACAGCACAGCCACATTTTGAGTTTGGTGGCTATTATTGCTTTATAATGAGTATCGGTTTCATCCTTACCTGTCTCACAATTAACAAGTCCAAATTCCAAATGCAGAAAGGGAAGAACGTGAGGTAAAATTCTTCATTTCCAAGAAAGGCCCCAAACTGAGCAAGGTAATAGAGAGATTTGTATTTGATGGTGTACCCTGTGGTTTGTACTGGCGGCTGTTCATCTTCGTGGGAAGAATCTTGTTCGCTGCACGGCAAAATGTCCCCTTTACCTTTAGACTGGTGATGACAACTGGGTTCGACAATGTATTTACCGGTGGAGTGGACACCGTTCAGAAAGTTGTTTATCTCTGTTCTGTCCTTACTATTTGACAGACCCCTCGTCCACTCAGAGTGACCGTTCTGATCAGCGGTGAGATGGCCATTCTCTCCTGCAAATCTCTGCCTAACATGATTATCACTATTGTTTGCATTTTTCATGGAATTCGTTTCCCGCGGGACACCATGATCGCTCCCATAACAATCTTGTCCCTTTGGGGCGGGGTGGCGATCGATTTCGTTGGGCACGAACTGTGCAGGAGCAGAAATGTCCCCGCTGCTGTCGTCCACCACATTTCCGTTAATTTCTCTACACGGTTTGGAAGGGAAAGGGCCCTCGCTGTTATCCTCAGAATCCGAAGATTGCAAACGAGTTTGCGTTTCCTGGTCGCATGTATCGGGCTTCACTATTTCAACCCCACACAACCTCTGAAATTTCGCAACATACACAGGATCCGCGAGGACATTGATGAAATCCATGTTTCACCTGTCGAAATATCCAAGACTTCAATCACCTCAGCAAGTTCAACAACACAGCGAAAGAGTAACTCCAAAAATACACAGTCCTATTGAAACGTCTAGTAGCAGAAACAAGGAACTGAATAACTCCTTTTATGACATTATCTATCTCTCTTCAAAACCAAAACAAACAACCCTGTTCCGTGTCCTCTTTTTAACCAACACACGCTTCGAGAACCCGACGAACCGCTCCTCCTGGTCGCCCAATCACCTCTCATCCCGGCGTTTCCTAGTCAGGGTCTCTCTCTCCACCTGTGGCGTACGCCGTGTGCTGGCGCGGCCGTGTGTGCGTGCGTGCGGGACTGTGTGTGTGGGTGTGTGTGTGGAGCGCATGGCTAGGCTAGTCTAGCGGGGACAGTCCTGGTCGCTAGCTGGTGATGATGAAAAGGGTGTGTTTGGGTTGGTCGGGCTGGTCTCCATGGCTGAACTTGGCCCACTCACTAACAATAGCTATTAATAGTATTGATAGTAATGTTCGACCGACGCAACGTTTGTTCGAAGCGCACGTCGCTAGCTTGGGTCAGTCCTCGATTTCAGGAACTGTGAATCCAGGGTTGGTGATTTTTTTGATTTTTTAAATAAAAATTTAAAAAATCGATTTTTTAAATTTAAATAAGATTTTTTAAATTTAAATCGGATTTTTTTGATTTTTTTTATTTTTTTAAAAATGCCGACTCAGTTTGGGATTTTTGGTGGCTAAAAGTAAGTTCTTTTAGTGCAAAATGCATTGTCTTTAATTTAACTAATGATTAATTTAAGCAACTGCAATTTTAGAAAGCCTTAATCTGCTATATCAGTGAATTATGGCTACAGACAAAAAATGAAGAAAATGTCAGTCTAAAAGGA